GAGAGACGAGCCAAAGAGAGAGACACCCAAAAATAGCATCGATGATTAAAGAAAAAAAGTTACCTCTCCTGAACTTCTCCCTCACGTTGATCTATAATTATCCTCCTTTTTTCATCCTACAAAAAAAAAGAAAAAAAAAAAGTAGCATTAAACTTTAAGAGAAATCTATTATGCTCGCGTAGAGTGCTGTCGACAAAAGATTTTTTTTCTTTTCTTTTTTTTTTTTTTTTGATAATCTAGTTTCTTTTTTAATGTAATCCTAACCCCTTTTAAGCAGAATCAGATACTAAACTATAGATTAGACTGCATCGTGTGTGATTCTCTTTTAAATGGTTCAAGGTAAGATTTAGACGAACTAATGAATTACATTTTTTCATACGGTTTGATGTGAAGAAAAAATATATATATATGCTAGTGTTAAAGATGATAATGATAGTAATCATTATTATAGTATAGTTAAAACATTTGATAATAATGATGATAATAATATTGACAATAAAGATAATGATATTAATTAGAATGATAATGATGTTGGTTATGATGGTGATGATAACAATCATAATAATGATAACGATAATAGTAAGAATACAAATAGTAAAAATAGTAATAGTAAGAATAATAATGGTAACAATAATAATAATAATAATGGTAACAATGATAATAATAATAATGACAATTAATAATAATAATAATAATAATAATAATAATAATAATAATAATAATAATAATAATAATAATATAATAATAATAATAATAATATAATAATAATATAATAATAATAATAATAATAATAATAATATAATAATAATAATAATAATAATAGCCACAACAACAAAACAATAATAATAACACTAATGAGAATAACAATAATATGCTAATAATAGCAAAAATAATAATAATAATAATAATAAAATAAAAATAAAAATAATAATAATAATAATAATAATAATAATAATAATAATAATAATAATAATAATAATAATAATAATAATAATGATAATATAATAATAATGATAATAATAATAATAATAATAATAATAATAATAGTAGTAGTAGTAGTAGTAGTAGTAGTAATGATAATAATAACAATAATAATAATAATAATAATAATAATAATAATAATAATAATAATAATAATAATAATAATAATAATAATAATAATAATAAAATGACAATAATAATAACAACAATAATAATAATGATAAAAAATAATAATAAAGGTAGTATTAATAAAAATGATAAAAAAGTAGTATTAATAATAATAATAATAATAAATAATAATAATAATAATTATGTTAAAAGTAATAATGATAGTAATAATGAAAATAATAATGATTATGATAATGAAAATAATAATTATAATGATAATAATGATAACGGCAATAATAAAAATAGTGATTGTAATGATGTTTATTACTAATATTATTGTTATTATTACTCTCATTATTACCATTGTTTTCATTATAATCATTAGTAGCAGTCGTAGTAGTAGTACTATAGTGATATCAATAACCATGATAAAAATGTTCCTGCTGGCAGTATTATCACCATTATCGTTGTTGCTATCGCCTTTATTATCATTATCATAAACTATCATTTTATTTTCAAATCTAAGATTTTTATATCTGTTTATGCACAGACACGAGTGAAAAACAATTTATTTGGTTCATGACATTTTAGAGTGTTTCCACTGTTTATTTATTAGCATTGCATTTCCACATGCAACATTGCCCTAATCACTGATAGCAAAGAGTTTCATGCGTTTGGGGCACACACACTGGTTGGTTGCAATGAGAGCATGCTAAAGAACCATACCTCATTGGCTGAAAAAATGAGTAAGGGACAAAGGGGGACAGAAATTCTTAAAAAGGAAGTAAAAATAAAAAAATAAATAAATAAATAAAATATATATATATATGCATCTAGCATAACGCGCCCTAACGCGCCCGCCCCGCTCCCCAGGTTCCCCGGCGACGACGCCAGCGGCTCCGGCGACCTGACGGAGGAGGACGAGGAGGAGGACGGCCTCAGCGAGCCGGAGCGCATCCCCGACGAGGCCGTGCGCGAGCAGTACATGTTCATGGGCAACCTGTACACGCTGACGCACATCCGCACGGACTCGGACAAGACGGAGCCCGTGGTGGACGTGGTGGCGGCGGAGCCCAGCGCGGAGGAGACGCAGGTGGAGCACATCGAGCTGGACCACAAGCTCAATGGCTCGGCCGTTCCCGAGGAGCCCGAGAACCTCCCGGAGGAGGAGCCTGGCGAGGAGGCGGACGGCAAGGCGCCCTCCTCCAGGCCAGCCTCAAGGCCGACGTCGAGACCCGCTTCCCTAATCCTTAGGTCAGTCTTCCCCTCCGACGTCGCGCAGGAATGACCCGGAGGATGTCGAGGAACCTGAAGCAGGACTCCGCAGAGGGACGTCGAAGGGACCTGTCGTTTCAGAATGCGTAGTACGTGAAAGGAAACGTTCTGTAACGTTCTGTCGCTGCCTTCTCTCAAAAGCGAGTGAATACGTATGGTTTGATTTACTGTTGATTTTCTTCCTTTTATTTGATCGATTTGTGGCCCATGCTCGTGTAATTACGTAAGATTACAGCAAGTATGTCAGATCACATTGCCGGTCTATAAATACCTAGTGTTAAAGCCTGGCAAAAAATACTTTCCATGAAGCTCATTGTTATGCCACAGACACCGGACCACAATGTAAAAAAAAAAGGACTAAAAACTTATGGTAACCTGGTAGAGGCTTCGTTCGTGATATTCTAAGACAGACTGCAGAATGATACTGTGGCGTGACTGACGGGGAAATTCTCCAAATAAACAGGACCTCAGAATTACACTGTGTACTTCGCATGTTTGACGCAATTATTAAGTGGAAATAAAGCCCGCGATGAGCGACAGGTGCATGGACTGGTGCATGATCACTCTTAGAACATACGCTGCATTCGGTTGTATATTCATACTTCAAGTAAATCATGTAGTTCTACTGAAGCAAATCCTGGCATGCAGCCCAATGCTAAACCAAAATAGTTTTATGGAAAAAGTAATAGTATTCTTTAGGTTGGACTAGTAGAGTACCACAATATCAGTCTGGGATGCTAGGTTCTCCAAAGAATGACTGGACAATTTCTCCTCTCCCTCCCCCCCCCTCTCTCTCTCTCTCTCTCTCTCTCTCTCTCTCTCTCTCTCTCTCTCTCTCTCTCTCTCTCTCTCTCTCTCTCTCTCTCTCTCTCTCTCTCTCTCTCTCTCTCTCTCTCTCTCTCTCTCTCTCTCTCTCTCTCTCTCTCTCTCTCTCCTCTCTCTCTCTCTCTCTCTCTCTCTCTGACCCATGCCCTACTGAACACGTACATATTATATGGTATTTGTTCATGTAAGAAAAGTAAAGAATGGATAGCTTCTTAATCCTACGTTAGGTACTGGTAAAACAATCTCAGTTACATAGCATCGTTTCTTTCTTTTATATTTACTTAATTTTATCTTTAGTTTATAATTGTATTAGTCATAAAGAAAGGCCTAGAGGCCATTAATAACTGTCACCTTTATTCACCAACAAAAGGATTTACTATTCTTATTAGTACCATTCTTATTCTCAACCATTCTTACTAACATGAAGTTATTCGTTGACTGCGCAAGGCTTAGCGATCATTGTGATTTATTAATTGATTTCTCAAATTAGACAGATATATTCTGTAAGAATATTCTTCTTTAAAATCACATTTTATGAACAGTGACACAAAAAATAATGGTTATGGACACAATCTGCCAACTATAACATTTGAGATCCAATAAAAATAACAGGATCAGAGAAAATGAAAAAACTCATTTATAGGATATTCACAAGTAAGAATAAATTCACTGGAATGTGTCCGTTAGTGAAAACAAGTTGAAAAATTTAATGGTCACGAAGATAAGAATGAGAATAAGAAATATGTTGGCTGAATCCCTAATTTTTTTCTTCTTGGTTTACATTTCTGTCAATTCAAATATTGTATAGTTGCTTCATTTCTTCATTTCCTCATTTCTCTTTATGAGCCCATTCACGATCGCGAAACTGGTATGACTAATTTTTAAATAGTAATAAATATTACTGAACATGGTACTATGACTTAAGGAATTGCTGTGGCTGTAAACCTCACTATCTGTAAAAGGAAGGAAATTTCGTTGTATATAATTCATAGTTGCAAGAGCTATTGTAATGTAACAAACATGTATTTTGGTACAAATTAAACTTGTATGAAAATGGAGTGCTTACTAGGCCGGCAAAGGTACTGGTAAAAATAAATCAGATGCTTTTGTACACGCCAAAAGCTCCCTGGTTGGTTGCAATGAGAACACTTCCTTCGACATGCTAAAGAACCATACCTCATTGGCTGAAACAAACTTGAAAAAACGAGTAAGGGACTAAGGGGGACAGAAATTCACTTTTTAAACCTTTAAAATGATAATTTAAATGGCTTTTAAATGTCCATTGTGACGTATCGATAAATTTCCTTCAGTCGACCACAAGTCCTCAGTACCAACGAATCAGGTCTGCTTAGTACTGTAATAGCAAAGAGCCCGATGATGGTGCTGCTGCTGGCTTTATGAACACTGCCTCTTGGATGTGATGACTGCACTTTTCTAAAAGCCAAAACTAAAGTGATATTCACTCGTGAAATATTACAAAGTGACATTAATTTTAAGTTATGTCTAGATTCTTTGTACTTTACTTAGAATATTGTAACTTGCATCCTTTTCCCTAGATTGTGCTGATTATTTTCCGAGATAGACATAGTGTATCAATTGCGTTCAGCAAGCAGTGCCAATTGCCATAGTCATACACACATGGTGCATTCAGTTCCTCTAATTGATAAAATGACAGGAAAAAATGTAGTACTGACTGGCCTTTGTGTCTAAGAATATTCTTAAAACTAATTACTGTACTGGAGATAGTGTGAAATTGCCCTATTGTAATTATAAAATATATCCGCATGTTGTACCTTTACACAATGGACATCGTCTCATCATGCATCACAGGTAAAATCTCTAGCAATTTTTTGGAGTGTAAGCTGTACATCAAAGGTGTGTCATACTGTTAATGTTACTTCTAGCTGCTAAATTTTCTATGTATTGGGAATGTAGTGACGACTTTCAAAAAGCTAGTCTCTTTTTTCTATAAAGTAGCTGATAATATGGTTGGAGGTATATTTACAATTTTTAAGCACTGTGACCTCCCTAGCCACTGTTGTTAAAGTGCACTCATTAAGATATCACATTTGGAATAAAGTTTACAAATGTTGTATACCATTCATAAGATAACAATGCGATAATGCTATTGGTTTTAAGTATTAATTCATATATTTGGCTGTAATTAATATATAAAAATAACTGATTGGGTTTGAAAATAAAGTTTAAAAGCCTTTCATATTATTGGTTAAAGTTTATTCGAGGGACTAACTCCTAACCCTGGGTGGGCCTTAATCCTAGACAGATTCCTTGACTGTGAAGCATCTGAGGTTGGAGAAAAAAGCACATTTTGCTTACCACAGCATTTGCAAGGGATATGTCTTTGCTAGGGATGTTAGAGGCATTCGTAAGTAAGTTGTGGGGTTATAAGAGGGATCTCTGGTGAGGGTGAAGAATTTTCTATGCACAATTATACACGAATATCTTATTGCAGGCACATTTAGGTGTGGTCTGTCTGCTCCCCCCCCCCCTCTCTCTCTCTCTCTCTCTCTCTTCTCTCTCTCTCTCTCTCTCTCTCTCTCTCTCTCTCTCTCTCTCTCTCTCTCTCTCTCTCTCTCTCTCCCTCTCTCTCTCTCTCTCTTCCTTTCTTCCCCCTCTCCTCTCCTCTCTCCTCTTCCTCTCTTCCGCCCTCCCCTCTCTTCCCCTCTATCCCCTTTCCCTATCTTCCACCCTCTTCCTCTCTTCCCCCCGTCCCCCTCTCTTCCCCTCCCCCTCTTCTACCCCCCGTCTCCTCTCTTCTACCCCTCTCTCTCCCCCTCTTCCTCTCTTCCCCCCTCTTCCTCTCTTCCCCCCCCTCTCCCTCTCTCTCTCCCACCCACCCTCTTCATCTCTCCCCCTATCCTTCTCCCCCCCCTCTCCCTCTCCCTCTCCCTCTCCAGACGATCAAAGAAAGTACCAGAAAAATCATACCACATTCCAATGGAAATAAACATGAAAATATATAAATACATAAATAAATTTGCTGATAATTCGTTAAAATAACGAACTTACGTATCACAAAGCATATAAAATGATAGTCTTTATGTCAACCTTTCATGTATGAATCTTACATATCATTGAGATGTTAAGGAAAAATGAAATAAAAAATACTGCAAATATTACTTATGCAAAGACATACCTTTCAAATGCTGTATTTTCTCGGTCTAGGTATCAGACCTCACTTTTTGTGTCTGTGATCGACTCTGTATTAGAATAAGACTATTCATAAGTTTACAATTTAAGGGAAAATCATTATTTACATGTGAATATAACAAGAGTTTGTGTATGGTGGTTGTTAAGCAGATGAGAATACAATTTCTTGTTATAAAATGAGGCTGTAGAAGGAAAGGTATTGAAGGTGAAATGTTGTTGAAATCCAAATATATGACTGATCTCTTTTAAAATGTATTTGGTGTTACAACTTCCTTATCTTGTGGATAAGGCCACGGCAGCTTTTTGTTTTTGAATAGCGGGCCCGAAGACATTTATTTCCAGGAAAATGAAAAAAAAATCCCGAATCTTTTTTATTCTAATGCTCTTCTGATATTGTGACGTCCGCGAAAGAAATAGCAAATAGATAAATTCAAATCAATTTCTTTATGACTCATTGTATATGGTATTGTTTCTCCCGTCCTCAAAGCAAACATGAAATATATTTGGTGGAAATACTTTACTCCCATGTGTCGTGTCATGTCTATTGTCTATCATGAGTATTTTTATTTTGATTTCCAAAATAACAAATTCTGGTTGAAAGAATTTTTTTTTCTGTTTACATTCAACTCCTCGAAGACCTAGTAAGACAGAATTGTACTTCCTCCAGGTGGGGCTGGAATTGATACATTACTTGTGATCTTTGGAAAGTAGAAGGTACACTTGTCTTATTTTGGAGCTGGGGATTTTTTTTCGGACAATATGGAGAACGAGGTAGTGCCGAAGTTGGGAGATAAAACCTTTGATAGATAATCACATTTTTATGTCGAGAGTAAACATTGATCTGACCACCGAACGCATTAGCCCGATGCAATGGGCATGTCCGTAGTTTCATTAGCCGATTTTTAGCGATTTTGGGCCAGTTTTTTGCCTTTTTGTTCACTATTCTTATTTCAGCTTGTTTTGCCCCATAATTTCCGTGATATACTCCATGCCCTCCCCTGCTAACGGGACTAACAAATTAAGATTGTCGATGGAAGTGGTACTCAGATCTCATCAACGAAGCATTTGCACAAGAAACAACAATCGTTGTAATCAGTGGTTTTCCTACAGATATCAAAATTGTTTCGAAAGTAAGCCACTACCCTGTCCTACATATTAACCTTTTTTCTTCCCGCTGACATTTCATTATCACTAGACTTGCCCGCTATTCAAAAAATTGCAGTGGCCAAACCCAGATATGAAAAGCTGCTAAATGAAATATTGTAGTCATCTATCACATATCCAAAGAAAATGAAATCGTGCCTTTCATCTCATAGAAAACGTAGGTAAAGTAGGAGGTACTCCTTTATATAGATAAATTACATACGGTATAGTGATAATGATGATACCAAAAATACTGATCATGATGGTAATAATGATGATGGTAGTAATAATGAAAATAACAACGATTACAAAAATGTTAATAATGAGAGTAATG